GAAACAAAAAATATATATACAAGGTGAGATAAAAAATAAACTGCAACAAAGTCAAACGCGATATTTTTACATTTTTTTAAATTTTTTTGAATAAAAGCAAAACCTGTCGGAAATAACATCAAATTTAAGAATAAGTTTAGATTTGTTCGAATTGGTCACATTTAGTACGAATTATGACCTTCAAACGGCCAATGAAACCGTCACACTCTGCCCGAATCTTGCTTTGTGGCATTTTGGCCCATTCCCGGCGATGCGCTTGCTTGAGGTGATCGACACTTTGGTATTTTTTAGTGCCAGCCTTGCTTTCTAAAATACTCCAGACACTATAGTCCAACGGATTGGTATCCGGAACTTCATTTTGTAACCATTCTTGGGTGGCGCGTGCTCAATGCGATGGTGCTGAATCCTGTTGGAATGTCCAAGGAATGCGGCCAAAAATTTTGCGTTCCCAAGGTTTTAATACAGCCTCCAAAATATTTTCGTGATAATATTCGCCATGTATTCTGATGCCACGGTCGATTAATGCGAGCTGAGAATGACCATTGGCAGTTATGGTGGCCCACCCCTTCACTATGGCCGGCGCTTGAGTTCTGGTGGCCAACCGAAGGTGCACATTTTCAGCTGACCTCTTTAGCAAGCAAACGCTTTCATTTCGTTTTTTACAAACTGCTGGACACCAAATGTTTTCTCATCGGAGAAGACCAAACTCGACAGCTCTTTTGAGTTTATTTTCTCTCTGTTGCGGTGTAAGTTCTTGCACTTTTTTGAATTTCAATGGCTTTACCACGAGCTCATTTTTCAATATTTGCCGAATAGAATATTGCGATATGTTCAACTCACGAGCCATTTTTCGGCCACAGCGACGCGAGTTTCGATCAAGTCGCTTCTTTACTTTTCGAACCATTTCTGCTGATGTTGCTGTTTTCTTCCGCCCACTTCCTTGACCAGCATTACGGTAACGAGCGATGGTACGAGACACAAAAGATTTATTCACATTTATATGCTGGAGTACTCTAACGATAGCCACTTAAGGTTTTCCAGCCAAATATAAAGAAATCACACTATCACGCTTGAATTCCATCACGAATAATTTTCTTTTCTGAATAATGCTCACAAAAATGCTTTTGTACGCTTGTAAACAATATAATGAGCTGTCACTGGAATAATTTTAATCGTAGTCGGACGAGTAGCTTAGAAATGAAAGCAGTCTAAAATTGGTTGAATTTTTTGATCTCACCTTGTGCAACAATATTCCTTTATAAATGAAGTGGTGCCGGAATCTGTTAAAAAATCAAGAAATTCTTTAAAATAAAATCGCTGTATAAGATTTTCATTGAAAAATATTGAACATTTCTAATCGGAATATGAGTTGTATTACAAGAATAATGACTTAAAAGCGCAAAAGTTTAATTTAATTTTCTGTGGATTATATATAAACACAATTAAAATATCAAAAAAAGGATTTTTAAATTGTATAATAATAAAAATAAAAATGAATTTATAAAAAAATTACATAATAAAAAAAAAATTAAAAATTATTCCTTAATCGTTCAGTATTAAACAAGTCTGGCCACAAAAACGCTACACTTTTAAAGCTTCATTCAAAAATGTGCCTCTTCAAAATTATAAATTTGGACTCAATACAAATTAAGATGCAATCTCTTCCACACCATTTGCATGTTCACCCATCAAATATGCTTCAATATTTAATATTCAAAATACATGTGCCACAACCTACCGACCCATTCAAACATACAAAATATAATAAAAACCAGATCAAATTTTAATTATCATATTAAAAAAAAAGAAAATAATAACAAATCGTGTTGAATTATGTGCTTTTATAACATTTGTGGATATTTTATTTATTAAATCGGAATAGGCGAGAACAAGTGCCAAAAAAAATGTGTATAACTTGAAACGACCAACACGTGCCTTAACTCAAATATAAACAAACAGATAGTCTTTAATTAAATTAGTAAAAAAAAATCAAAAGCTAATAAGCAAAGGCTTCTGCAGGCCGGGGCTGGCCCTGTGATGCCCTACACCACTTTAATTTGCGACAAAAACTTAGTATATCTGAAACGCTCTGCTCCTTAAAATTCGCTTCACATATCAAAGTTTAATCTCAAATTTTCAGTATTGAGGGGTTACTACGCATATCAGTCCGTCCGTATGTCTATGTATTTTTGTGAACCAAATGCAGGTCGCATTTATTATCCCATTGAGATGAAAATTTCCAAAAAATATTTGTTAGGCCCAAGGACGAACAACATTGAAATTGGTGCTAATCGGTTCAAATTTAGATACAGCTCCCATATATATCTTCAACCAATATTAGGTTCATTGTGCACCAAATGGACTGAATTTTGGCAATTCCAACTGAATTCATCCTCGAAAACAGTACTTCAAATTTGGTGAAAATCGCTTAGGATACAGCTATAGCTCACATATATATGTTTTATCCGATTTGGTGTTCAAGTCCCTCACATGCGTAATATGCACTCTAAAACTATAATTTTTGGCACCTGATATCAGATACAGCTTCGAAATAAGTGTTTAACATTTTGTCAAAATCCGTTAGGATATAGATATATGAACTGAATTTTGGCAATACCGGCCGAATTCATCCTCGAAATAAGTACTTCAAATTTGATGAAAATCGGTTCAGTTACAGTTATAGCTCCCACATATATGTTTTATTCGATTTGGTGTCCAAGTTCCTAAAATTCATAATATACACTCCACAACAATAATCTTTTGTACCAGATATCAGATACAGCTAAATAAGAGTTAAAAATGTTGTCAAGCTGAGTTCAGACTTGGATATAGCTCCCATATATATACCTTTATCAGATATTAGGATTTTTGTGCACCAAATGGCTAATATCAGCCCAAATGAACTGGATTTTGGCACTTTCAACGGAATTCAGACTAAAAGTTAGTTAAATTTTAAAGTTAAATTTTGGTGAAATTCAGTTCGGATATAACAATAGCTCCCACACATATGTTTTATCTGATTTGGCGTTAAAGTCCCTCACATGCGTAATATGCACTCCACACCAATGATATTTGATTTCGGGCATCGGATGCTGCTGCAAAATACCTCTGCCAAATTTTATCGAGATGGGATCAGATTTTAAAATAGTTTCGATATAAATCTTCATCCGATTTTACGGTTATTGCTCACCATACAGGGTGAGATAAAAAAACTGCAACCATTTTCAGACTGCTGTCATTTCTAAGCTACTCGTCCTACAGTTGTTAAAATTATTCCAGTGACAGCTCATTATATTGTTTACAAGCGAACAAAAGTATTTTGGTGAGAATTTTTTAGAAAAAAAGTTATTCGTGATGGAATTCAAGCGTGATAGTCTGATTTCTTTATATTGGGCTGGAAAAGCACAAGTGGCTATCGATAGAGCACTCCAGCATTTAAATGTAAATAAATTTTTTGTGTCTCGTACAATCGATCTTTACCGTGATACTGGTAGCGTATCCCGACGTCGAGGAAGTGGACATAAGAAAACAGCAACATCAGTAGAAAGGGTTCGAAAAGTAAAAAAAGCGACTTGATCGAAACCCGCGTCGCAGTGGCCGAAATATGGCTCATGAGCTGAATATATCGCAACATTCCATTCGGAAAATATTGAAAAATGAGCTCGGGGTAAAGCCATTGAAATTCCAAAAAGTGCAAGCACCTACACCACAAAAGAGATAAAATAGACTCAAAAGAGCTAAAGAGTTGCTTCGCTTGGCCGAAAGTGGTGAACTGCCGAATTTGGTTTTCTCCGATGAGAAAACATTTGTTGTCCAGCAGTTTGTAAGCAAATAAAATGATCGTGTTTACTTGCCGAAGAGATCAGCTGAAAATGTGCACCTACGGTTGGCCAGCACAACTCAAGCGCCGGCCATGGTAATGGTGTGGGCCGCCATAACAGCCGATGGTCGCTCTCCGCTCGTATTAATCGACCGTGGAATCAGAATAAATGCCGAACATTATCTTGAAAATATATACTGGAGGGTGTATTAAAGCCTTGGAGGGTGTATTAAAGCCTTGGGCACACAAACATTTGGGCCGCAGACCTGGGACATTCCAACAGGACTTAGCACCATCGCACTCAGCACGTGCCACCAAAGAATGCAGCACACAATGGCCACCAAAGTCTCCGGACACAAATCCGCTGGACTATAGTGTCTGGAGAGTTTTGGAAAGCAAGATTTATACTGAAAAATACCAAAGTGTCGATCACCTCAAGCAAGTGCTTCGCCGAGAATGGGCCAAAATACCGCAGAGCAACATTCGGGCAGGTTGTGACGGTTTCATAGGCCGTTTTTAGGCCATAATTCGTGCCAAAGGTGCCCAATTCGAACAAATCTAAACTTATTCTAAAATTGTATGCTCTTTCCGACATTTTTGCTTTCATTTAATAAAATTTAAGAACAAATGTAAAAATGATGCCGTTTGACTTTGTTGCAGTTTTTTTTTATCTCACCCTGTATATCTTCGTGCGTTGTAATATCAGTCCAAATATGATAGATCCAAATTGTTACAGTTTTCTGGGAATAGCTTAGCTTTTGGGAATATCTCATTCATAAATTAGTTGCGTACATTTATTAAAAATTCATAGCAAATCTTGTTTAATAATGATAAAGATTTCTTTCCGTCTTGACTACAAAAAATAAAAATGCAGTGTGGAATAAACCCAATTCCGGAAACAGGAATTAAGTAATTATTGGAACTGGTAAATGATCATATACTTAAGTTAGTACACATGTGTGCAACTTCTATTTAAGTGGGCTTTATTATTCAATAGCGATTTCTTATAGTAACGACAACAAAAAAAATGATACTCATTATAATATTCTTAAATTTAATACATTTCGCCAGTGCCGTTTTTAATAATTTCAAAGAATGCATTTATTCTACTGGAACTTGTTTCATGGATTCTGAAATATTTATTTGAAACTGGAAAATTTTTAAATCAAAAGATTAGACTTTGGTCAATTTGTAGATTAAACTATTGAGAATCAGTCAGAGAAATACTTTCCAGCGATTCGGTACACAAAGAAAGTTTAACCAAAAAATACAAATCAAATACCTATGTGGAGACTTGTTCGGCAATTCGGTTTGGATTTTGTTAATATGAACATAGGCATGTATTCAAGCAAACGATTAAATTTATTTTATAATAAAAAAAAATAATATTAAATTTAATATTTTGGAAAATTAAGGAAACCTCCATATAAATTAAAAATTGAACAAAGGAAAAGTGATTTAAAAAATATATTTTTTTATGAAACTTGAAATCAATATTTTCAAATTCCAGAGTTTTTGAATTACACAACGTATCGATATTGAATAATGTTTCTAATTCTTATAACTAAAGGCCAAAAAATGTGGGCTGATGCATATTATTAATAAATCCGGTTAATATGAACTTTAAAAAATATGCAAATAAGTGAAGAAAAATACCAAATTTAAAACCCGCAATACTTAAGATAAGATCACTTACAAAATGTGTATGAATATATAATTTACGGGTCTAATATATCAGATTTTATCGCTTGGTGATAAAATCCTAGCTTTATGAAGGAAATATTTTCGAGAATTATAAAATCAACAAGTGTGGAACTTCGGAGCTTCAATCAAGAATTTAAAACTATTAGTGCTATTGTGGATTTCAAAAAAAAAAATCTACTTCTATTAGTGATAAAACTATCAAATCCATTATCGCGAATTTTTTTTAAGGACTTTTGGAATCCTGATATTTCTCAAGGACAATAAAAGCTGAGTCCTTATATTTTTCAAAAATGTTATTTTTCTGGGGTAATAGGGCTGTAATAGAGTTTTTTTTTAATATATGCATTTACAAGACAATCGAAAATATTTTTATCGATTTGCGATTATATTGGTTAGAGTCGTGAAATATTTAGGAATATTTATTCAATAACTTCAGTACAGTAAAATTATTATAACTTAATTTTAAATGGCTTCAAAATAGAGAACTTCAAATAATATATTTTGCGGAACTTCAATTGCGTGTTTTAATATAGAATATTTCTTTTTCGTGCACTTCTTCGTCGATAATTTTTCGAAATATTTTTTTTAGAACTTTAGTGTTACTTATTTAAAACCAACACTTTTTCAAAAGACTAAAGAATATTTTTGAGGATATTTTTTTAAGAATTGGAGATTTTCTTATTTATTATTTTTTTAAGGACATTAGAATCTTGGATTAAAAAAAGACATTTTTGAAGGTCGTGATTTTTTTTAAGACTTTTGGGCAGTAAATTTTGTTGACGAAAATTTTCAAGGACTTAAGAGTTGCGGATTTTGCAGAGAAGATACATTTCTAGGACAACAGATTGGTGTCATATTATTGGTTTCAAAGACTTATTTTAAGCATTTTGCTGAGAAAAATAAGAATGTTTTATTTAAAAAAATTGATAATTTTGTATTAAAAAAATATTTAGTAAGAACTTTATGGCTGTGGATCTCTTTTAATATTTTAAAGGCATCAGAATTGATTTTTTTTTTTTTTTTTTGAATATTTTTTCAAGGATATTTTGGTTCTTTTAAATGTTGAAGTTAAAGTAAAGGGCTACAAAGTCGTATGTTTCGATGTCGATTTTCCTAAGAATATTTTTTTAAGTATATCACGGTCATGGAGTTTTTTTTATTATTTTTTTCAACGACTTCTGAAACTCTTTTTTGGGAAAACTTTTTGTAAGAATATTTTTTCAAAAACTTCAGAGTTGTAGGATTTTTGATGGATTCATCTTTCGAGTTGAGATTTAAATCTCATAAGGAGATGACATTGACTCTTGGAATCAAACATCAACGAATATGTGGCACGTTTTGTTCTTGGTTTTTTTGAGAAATTTTTGAGGCCTTGAATTTGTAGTTTTTTTAAGAATATTTTGATGGTATCCAGAACCTTGAGTTTTTAAAGCCGTTAATTATTTTTGAGAATATTTTCCCAACTTGTAACTATAATGATAGTTAGTATGATTGTATTCTCACAAATTTCCCATAAAAACTTTTATTTGTTATGTGAAGCTCTAATAAATATGTAAAGTGGTGTAAGGTATCATAAAGTGGTCCCGCCCGATTTTAAGACTTTCTTTATTGGTTTATAATATACTTTCAATGGCCAACAAATTGTACTTTGTTTAAAATGATTTTCCAATGACTGTCTAAATTGGGTTTCAATTTACTGAACTAATCTTAATGAATGCGAATGCCGTAAACTAAATACAATTACCATTTAGAGGATGTCTGAATCGTCTCTTTAAAATTAAATTCTTTAAAATTAAATTAAAAAGCAGTACTAGGTATATTTAAACATTTGTTAAGTCTATCAGTATAACTATTTTTGTTAAATTGTAACCCTTTTAAAAATATTTTATTTTATTTATTTATTTATTTTACAGACAAACGCATCACAGAAAATCCCATACTGGCCAGTCCCCTATTTATGATTGCGATTTTCACATTATACATTTTGATTGTACGTAAATGGGGTCCCAAGTACATGGAAGATCGTAAACCATTTAAAGTGGATGATTTAATGAAGCTCTATAATGTTGTGCAAATTCTTTTGAATGCTTTTATCTTCTATGAAGCCCTCCGTTATAGCTATTGGAGATCAGATTTTAGTTTTACCTGTGAAGGTTTCAATCCGAACGATATGAGAATGCCGACGTTAAAGGGAACCCGTCCCGCATACTTGTATCATGTGAGCAAATATTTGGATCTATTAGATACGGTAGGTGGTATAAGAACTTTATTACAGAATAAAATTAAAAAAATTAATGATTACAGATTTTCTTTTTGCTGCGCAAAAAATTCAATCAAATTAGTTTTCTGCATGTTTATCATCATGCCTTAATGTTGGCTGGAACATATCTGTATGTTTCGAAATCTTTTGGTAAGTTGGAAATTACCGAAATTCTAAACCATGATCTTCTATTTTGATTTTTTTGTTTTCTTTTTAAGGATCACATTTAACTATGATTGGAGTAATTAACTCATTCATCCACATTGTTATGTACACCTACTACCTGGCGGCTGCCATGAAACTTAACTTCGATTTGGCGCCATGGAAAAAACGCCTGACCATAATGCAAATAGTGCAATTCATTATCTTGATATTTCATCAGAGTCTGCCGTTGATAAACAATTCATGCAATCTGGCAACACCAATTGTTGTGTTATCCGTTAGTCAAAGTGTAGTTATGTTGATGTTGTTTTCGAATTTCTACTATCAGACATATATACGTCCAGCCAAAAAGATAAAATCAAACTAATTTAAGGGTCTACTGTAATGTATTGTATGCAAGAGTGTTAATATTAGAAATAATGAATAAACAGTTAAATGAAATAAATGTTATTAAGTGGATATACGGTACAATGTTTTTTAGAATGGAAACGTTTACATTTTATAAATATTTTTCAAGATCCCACTTAAATTTAGTGGTAAGTTTAAAGCACTAAATTTTTTGTCATAGGCTGTAGTACCTATTACGAACTTCAAATACGAAAATTGTTAAAATTATGGTGAATAATGTCGCAAAAATCATGAAAATACGGAGTATCGGGAGGTACAGTTATATGGGGGCTATACAAACACTTGGACCTGCATACAAAATTTTTTGCCATAGGTTCTAGTACCCGTTAGGATCTTCCACTACGAAATTTGAAACGATTCCGGTGAATAATGTTGTTGAAATCATCAAAATACCCAATATCGGGAGGTACCGCTATATGGGGGCTGTACGAAGACTTGGACCTGCATACAAAAGTTTTTGTCATAGGCTGTAGTACCCATTACGAACTTCAAATACGAAATTTTAAATAATTCCGGTAAATAATGTCCCCAAAATCTTGAAAATACCGAATATCGGGAGGTACAGTTATATGGGGGCTATACGAAGACTTGGACCTGCATACAACATTTGTTGCCATTGGTCGTAGTACCCGCTAGGATCTTCCAATACGAAATTTGAAACGATTCCGGTGAATAATGTTTCTTAAATCATCAAAATACCGAATATCGGGAGGAACCGTTATATGGGGGCTTTACGAAGACTTGGATCTGCATACAAAATTTTTTGTCATAGGTTGTAGTACCCATTACGAACTTCAAATACGAAATTTTAAATAATTCCGGTAAATAATGTCGCTAAAATCTTGAAAATACCGAATATCGGGAGGTACCGTTATATGGGGGCTATACGAAGACTTGGACCTGCATACAAAAATTTTCGCAATAGGTTCTAGTACCCGTTAGGATCTTCCACTACGAAATTTGAAACGATTCCGGTGAATAATGTTGTTGAAATCATCAAAATACCCAATATCGGGAGGTACCGTTATATGGGGGCTGTACGAAGACTTGGACCTGCATACAAAAGTTTTTGTCATAGGCTGTAGTACCCATTACGAACTTCAAATACGAAATTTTAAATAATTCCGGTATATAATGTCCCCAAAATCTTGAAAATACCGAATATCGGGAGGTACAGTTATATAGGGGCTATACGAAGACTTGGACCTGCATACAACATTTGTTGCCATTGGTCGTAGTACCCGCTAGGATCTTCCAATACGAAATTTGAAACGATTCCGGTGAGTAATATTTCTTAAATCATCAAAATACCGAATATAGGGAGGAACCGTTATATGGGGGCTTTACGAAGACTTGGATCTGCATACAAAATTTTTTGTCATAGGTTGTAGTACCCGTTACGAACTTCAAATACGAAATTTTAAATAATTCCGGTAAATAATGTCGCTAACATCTGAAAAAAATCGAATATCGGGGGTACCGTTATATAGGGGCTATACGAAGACTTGGACCTGCATACAACATTTGTTGCCATTGGTCGTAGTACCCGCTAGGATCTTCCAATACGAAATTTGAAACGATTCCGGTGAATAATGGTTCTTAAATCATCAAAATACCGAATATATATATATATATATATATATATATATATATATATATATATATATATATATATATATATATATATATATATATATATATATATACATGTATATATTATTATGAATATTTAGAGGAGTTACAAACGGAATGATAAAGTTAATATACCCTCCATAGAATGCTGGAGGGTATAAAAATAAAACGATACATGCATTAAGAATTCATTGCCGGACCGCAATCCCAAAATTCTTAAAAAAGTGTGCTGTCTTCTCAATTTAATGATGAGAAGAACAAACCCCGTGTACGGAAATCGGTAGCGTGAAATGATAACCAGTTTTTTCAACAAGACAGTGCCACACGTTATACAGGCTGAGAAAGAATTCAATAGCTGCATCAGTTATTTCCCGGTTCTGTTATTTCGAGTTTTTGAGACCAGAATTGGCAGCCTAAAAACAGCAATTTAACACCTTTTTCATTTTGGGTTTTTGAAGTCGATAGCTTACGCGAATAAGCCGAAGACGGCTCAAGTCTGAAAAGAAGAACTTGAACGCCGCATTAATGCAAAACGGTTTATTGAAAATGTCATTAAAAAATCTCGTGTGTGCCAGCAATACCACGGTGGCCCTCTGCACGATATCTTCTTCCATGCATTACCTCATTCTGTCTACTTTTCGGTATAAAAAAAACAAGTAAGCAAAGGCTATAGTCGTGCGTGGCCGACTATGTGATACCCTACAAAACTACAATATGTGAGAAGCCCCCTCATGTCCAAATCCATTTGGGAAGATTTCGATTTTGAAATTATGTCACGAAGCACTACCCGATATTACCCTTAGCAATTTGACCAGGTACATTTTGCCAATATTTATGCACTCCGTCGAGCTGTTAGTTTTTGTGGTCCATTAATAATGGTAATCCAATGGTCATCCAAAATGCTAGAATTCTTCCCTGTGCTTAACTATCTTCTCAGGCGTGTCGATTAGCTTCAATTGTGTGATCAGGATTTTTTTTTTGTTTTTGGTTAATTTGAACCCCCTAATATTTTGCGATTATCTCCAAAAGCAAGAGACCCCTCTGTGTCTCCAAATTTAGACTCATCTATATGATTTGCTTGTCTACGATATTTGGCTATATTTGTCAACGAAATCAGCATAAAAAGCCAGAAGTTCGCCTATTGTGTATATCGGATATCGCCTGTAAGTAAATGGAACATTTTGAGTTGCTGGTCCATTTCAACACCTAAATATATTGCGGACATCTTTGAAAACAATAGACTTAGCCCTCCTGAGCCTAACCCTATCTTTGTCAAAAATTTCGTGATGATCGAACGATATACACTTCAATATTATAAGTCAAATTGAACAAATCGCATGCGATAAAAAATTTGAAAAAATAAAAAAATGTCACAAAACACTACCAAATCTATATTAACATCATTATTGGCATTTTTATGCGATTTTTTTTAGATTTTATACTTTTATGCCAAAAGGGCATTCTAATTTTACAAAATTTGTCAAAATCGCTCCAGCCATTCTGAAGATATAAGCATTCTAGATAACATCCCCTACATTGTATATATTTCGCTATATATATCCGATATTTTTACTATCGGCATCTACGTAACGGTCAGAATTGACCTGTTCGTCGATTTGTGATTTCGCCGGCATTAAAAATATTCGCAGTTTAATGGAAAATTTGACTTTTATTTATCACAAATGCTTTGGTCTATTTCAACCACTAAATGTTACCCGATGACCATCAAAATTGGAAGGCTTCTGCCCAGCCAGAAGCTCTAGCCCCATGCTAACTTCCGCTTTGATTGGTCTATAAATGCAACCTATAGAGCAACTGCAAAAACAGGAATTTTTTCAGTTTTTTGGTCCATTTCAACCACTAAATATTATGCGATCATCTCCAAAAGAAATAGGGTTCTATTCTGGCCTTAACCCCACCTCCATTCTAAATTTCGTGAAGATCGGGCCATAATTGCGACCTGTAGAGTGCTTACAAATTAACATGGACAGACGGACGGACGGACATTCATAGCTAGATCGACTCAGCTCGGCGAGATAGGAAGATCCATATATACTTTCCTATGTGGGAAACCAATATTTCGAGGTGTTACATAATTATTGGCCCAATCAAACTTACCCCCAACACATAGTGTTATAGGGTATAAAAATCGCATGCGATAAAAAATATGACAAAAATTTAAAAAAAATTAACAACAAATATTCACTTTTCATTTTTACGCGATTTTCTTAGATCTACTTTTCAGGCAAAAGACTATTCCGAATTGATACAAATTGTAACAGTCAGGCCAGAATTCCTTGTCTTATAAGCGGAACAAGGCTTTAACCCCATGCTAACTTTCGCTTCCATTGGTCTATAATTGTGACCTGTAGAGCAACTGCAAAATCACGAAAATTTTCCATTTCAACCCCTATTATGCCCTATAAGAAATAGGTTTCTATTCTGACATTAACCCCACCTACATTATAAATATCGTGAAGATCGGGCCATAATTGCGACCTCTAGAGTGATTACAAATTAACATGGACAAGCGGATGGACGGACATACATAGATGGATCGACTCAGCTCGGCGAGAAAGGAAGATCCATATATACTTTCCTATGTGGGAAATCAATATTTCGAGGTGTTACATATTTTTTGGCCCAATCAAACTTATAATACCCCCAACACAAAGTGTTGTAGGGTATAAAAATCCAGGTCCAATCGGATAATTTTGATATAACTCACGTTTCCTATAATTGAATCATGTTGGATAGATATTTTCATTAGATTTCAAATAATATATAACCGATATAGAAAATAAAATATTCAATAATTCGTGCCCCAAAAAATGATCATAAATAATAACTAAAATGGCTGAAAACTCAATATTTAAAGAGATATGACCATTTTAAAATATTCAATAAATCGTGCCTCAAAAAGTGATCACAAATAATAGCTAAAAACGCTCAAAACTCAATATTTAAGGAGTTATGGCCATTTTAAAATATGCAATAATTTATGCATCAAAAAGTGATCACAAATAATAGCTCAAAGCGCTAAAAACTCAATATTTAATGAGTTATGGCCATTTTAAAATATTCAATAATTCGTGCCTCGAAAAGTGATCACAAATAATATCTAAAAACGCTGAAAACTCAATATTTAAGGAGTTATGGCCGTTTTAAAATATTCAGTAATTCGTGTTGTCTATATCGGTTTTGTAGGTTTGTAGTCTAACCCTTCAGAAAAGTATGAGAGTTCTTACTAAACGTGAGTTAGCCCCAAACTTATGGTACTGCTTCTTAAATTGTAAATAAATTTTCCACAAATTAAATAGAATTTATTAAAACAAAGCTTTTCAGTAAAGCCTGACTACTATGAAGTAACCAAACAAATCAAGAGCACTAAATTGCAACAGAAATGCCAAAATGAGGTCGAAATTACTCAATGAATTAGCACTATTTAAAAACAATTTTTTTTAGTAGTTGCTATGTCTATCCACGAATAATATCGCACACACAATCATTTAAATTTGAATATCTAAACCCTTTAAAGCGGAAAGAGCGTCTTGTTTACAATACAAGAATTTTTTTTTTCGTTTTGTTTTGATTTCTATTTCAAACATTTGCATATTCATCGACTGCACTCACTTCATGAATGGAAGAATGTGTTACAATGTAATTTTAACAAAATATACGAAATATTTCCCCATTTGCCTAAATAATTAGGTTTTAAATATTTGTAATTATTTTATCGCAATCAGTGTTAGTTTTAGTTTTGTGCCAATAACATAGAATTGAAAATAAATCGAAAGTGTGAATGCAATTAAAATGAAGATTTTACAATATCTGATCCATAAACTATTGGAGTTCAATAATGTTCTGCAAATAGGCAGGTTATCTTAAATCCTTAAATTTATTTCTATCGAAAAAATGAGTAAAATATGCACTAAAACGTTATTATGTGGAGACAACAATAATATGAAGAAACGATGTGACATTTTTAAAAGACAATTAAAATATCCAGCATAGTGATACAATACGAAATACGATATTGTGAACGTATATAAACAATTCTCTTCCAGAGGGTAAATTACCAAGAAAGAACTCCTTGTGTGGATTTTCAGACAATTCCATTGGAAAATGTGGCCAAAATCATCAAATTGCCGAATATCGGGGAGTACCGTTGTATGGGGGCTATACGATATCGTGGACATATACAAACAATTATCTTCCAAAGAGTAAAGTACTCGAAAAGAACTCCTTGTGGGGATTTTCAGACAATTTCATTGGAAAATGTGGCGAATATCATCAAAATGCCGAACATCGGGGAAACCGTTGTATGGGGGCTATACTATATTGTGGACGTCTATTAGCAATTTTCTGCAGTAGGGTAAAGTACTAGAAAAGAACTCCTTGAACGGATTTTTAGACAACTCCATTGGAAAATGCGGCTAAAATCATCAAAATACCGAATATTGGGGAGTACCGTTTGTGGGGGCTATACGATATCGTGGACCGATATAGCCCATCGTAGAATTTGATCTGCCTGCAGCTTCCTATCTTTATTCGTTTTGACTCTAGCGTGGATACAACAGAAGAATGGACGGCAAAATCGTCTTAGAATTTTACGCTTATCAAGAATATAATCTACCCTCCATACTATGTATGGTGGAGGGAATAAAAGACATTAAGTTCGTGAGTCCATTGCATGGGGGACCATACCAAAAAGGGTACCCATTTAGACAACCTTATACTACAAGAATTGTTATCTATTGCATGTCTGGAATGCAAATTGGAAAAAAATTATGTGGGTAAATGTTACAAGGATTATCAAAAAATCCGAACATCAGTAGGTACCATTATATGGCGGATGTAGGAAAACATGGACCTAGATATTCAATATTGTGCCACAAGAGCGAAACCCCATTAAGAGCTATAAATACCAATTTTTTGAAGAATCCGTGGATAATGTGACAAAAATCATGAAAATATCCAATATCGGGAGGTACCGTTATATGAGGGCTATTCGAAAATATGGACCTATACATACAATGTTCCGATACCGGAACTGGAACCCGTTACAAAAACGTGGACCAGAAAACAGCAATAGCAACATCAGCTGTAATGGTTCGAAAAGTAAAGAGGCGACTTGATCGAAACCCGCATCGCAGTGGCCGAAAACTGGCTCCTGAGCTAAACATATCACAATATTCCATTCGACAAATACTAAAAAATCAGCTCGGGGAAAAGCCATTGAAACTCCAAAAAGTGCAAGAACTAACCACGCGACAGAGGGAAAATAGACTCAAACGAGCTAAAGAGTTTCTTCGCTTGGCCGAAAGTGGTGAACTGCCGAATTTGATTTTCTCCGATGAGAAAACATTCGTTGTCCAGCAGTTTGTAAACAAACAAAATGATCGTGGTTACTTGCCAAAGAGGTCAGCTGAAAATGTGCACCTTCGGTTGGTCACCAGAACTCAAACGCCGGCCATGCTGATATTGTGGGCAGCCGTGACAGCCGATGGTCGCTCTCCGCTCGTATTAATAGATTATCGCGAAAATATTCTAGAGGGGGTATTAAAGCCTTTGGCCCGCAAACATTTTGGCCGCAGACCTTGGACATTCCAACAGGACTCAGCACCATCGCACTCGGCACGCGCCACCCAAGAATGGTTACAAAATGAGGTTCCTCCCTTCATTTCCAGCGCACAATGGCCACCAAAATCTCCGGATACCAATCCGTTGGACTATTGTGTCTGGAGTATTTTGGAAAGCAAGTTTGACAGTAAAAAAGAATATCACCTCAAGCAAGCGCTTCGCCGGGAATGGGCAAAATACCACAAAGCAACATTCGGGCAGTGTGTGACGATTTCGCTGGCCCTTTATAGGCCATAATTCGTGCCAAAGGTGACAAATTCGAACAAATCTAAACTTATTCTAAAATTTGTAAAAATTAAAAAAAATGTAAAAATTATGGCTTTTGACTTTGTTGCAGTTTTTTCATCTCAATCTGAATAGACTAACCCTTTCAGAGAATGTGTCGAAAATCATATAATAAATTTTACACAAATCCGTGCAAAAATGTGACAAAAATAATCAAAGTACCGAAAATGGGGAGGTACGGTTATTTGGTGTCTATACGAAAACGTGGACCCATAAATAAAATGTTCCGCCACAGGAGCTAGAACGCATTAAAATCTATAAATACCAATTTTAGACAAATTTATTGGACAACAAGTAAGCAAAGGCTACAGTCGAGCGGGGCTGACCGTTGAATACCCTACAACACTATAATAAACCATACAGTTTATATAGGCGAGATACTCGAAAGAACTCCACAAGATATTGTGACAAATAATAAAAGAAAACCATCAGGCTTCGTTCTCTAATTTTTGAATAATAGCAACTTAAACGAATTTGCTCATTTCCAATTTATTGGTAGATGTTGCACGTAAATGGTCTTCCTAGATCTGGAACCAATATTTCCCAAAGACCTATAATATCTCAGAGGTGGCAAAAGACTAACATTTATTATTGGTTTTTGACTGAAATGAATCTATATGAGATACAGACATTTGACTATATTCTTCAACGAAATCAGCCTTAACGAAATAGTCAGAAGTGCGTCTTTCCTGTATTTGTGAATTCTCCAAAAAGTCACTGGAATGGACGTTTTCGTACTTTGTCTGCAAAAGTTGGCAAACTATTTCACACATTGAATATTTTTGGATGGCCATCTGTGCGTGAGGATCGGGCGATAATTACGACCTGCTAACAATTTTGCAGTTTTTTGGTCCATTTCAACCCCTAAATATATGGCGATCATCTCCAAAAAGAGTAGGCTTCTATTCTGACCCTCATCTTATCCCCATGCAAAATTTCGTAAGGATCGGGCCATAAATGCGATCTGTATATGATATCCTGATATCCTAACTACTTAGTTTTGTTAGCTGTAGAAATATTACCAAATGTTCAATTCAAAATGAAAATATGCCAAAAATATGACAAAATTGAAAAAATATGAGAAAATGTTACAAATCCAATATTTTCATCTTTAGAGAGATATTTTTATGCGATTTTATAGACGTTTTTTCTTTCCTGCCAAGAGGCCATTCTGAATTAATGAGAACTGTCGAAATCAGTTCAGTCGTTCTCGACATATAAGAGATCTTTCAAGCATATCTTCTTTGAAAGACATATATATCGCACATATTTTGCTATATATCCGATTTGTTGGATGTTAACATCAATGTAAAGGTCAGAAGTAACCTTGTCATGACTTTGTGATTTCGCCGGGATTTAAAAAAATTCACGGTTTTATGAAAAATTTTGAATTTTTTCAACACAAAAGATATGGTCTATTTTACCCGCTAAATATTATCCGATGACCACCCAAATTGATAGGCTTCTTCCCCGCCCTAAACTCTAGCTACATGCGAAATTCCGCGTCGATTGGTCTATAATATATTTTATATATATATTTTTTCAGTATTTGGTCCATTTCAACCCCTAAACATTTGGCGATCATCTCCAAAAGAAATTTCGTAAGGATCGGGCCATAATTGCGACCTGTAGCGTGATTACAAATTAACATGGACAGACGGACGGACGGACATATATAGCTAGATCGACTAAGCTCGGCGAGCTAGGAAAATCCATATATACTTTCCTATGTGGGAAACCAATATTTCGAGGTGTTACATAATATTGGGCCCAATCAAACTTATAATACCCCCAACACATAGTTTGTGTTTTCAAAATATTTTATCAAGTAAAGTTTTGGAATGTTTTTTGCTTCAAGAACAAAAACAGCCGTCAGTTCTTAGAGAATATTTGATTGCTTATTAGAGTGAAGGGCTTTCAGATTCGTGGATTTTAATCAGTTTCTAAGGAATATACGATTCGATACAATATTTTTCTGAAACACAATCTTTTTGGTTTAGATGCACTGTTTACAAAATTTTTTTAATAATATGTTAAAAAATTTTCAAGAACCCTTTTCCACCTGTCGCTTAATAAAATTCAAAGTATTATTTTTTTAGATTTTTTAGTTTATTTTTGGAAAAAGTAGATATTTTGAATATTTTCAGAGGATTGTTTTTTGTTTTTTATTTCACAGATAGGCGCATTACCGTAAATCCAATACTGGCCAGTCCCCTATTCATGATATCCATTTTCACATTATACCTCTTAATTGTTCGAAAATGGGGACCCAAATACATGGAAAATCGGAAACCATTTAATGTGGATGGATTAATGAAGCTCTACAATTTCGTACAAATTCTGCTGAATGCATTTATATTGTACGAAGGAGTTCGTTATAGCTATCTGCGACCAGATTACAGTTTAACCTGTGAAGGTTACAATCCTGACGATATGAGACCGATGACATTGAAGGGAGCCCGTCCAGTCTATTTATATCATTTAAGCAAATATATGGATCTATTGGATACGGTGAGTGGTGATATTAGCAATTTTTTGCTGATTTGAAAAAAAAAATTAAATTGTTCTTCTATGTACAGATTTTCTTTTTGCTTCGCAAGAAATTCAATCAAATTAGTTTCCTACATGTTTATCATCATGCTGGAATGTTGGTTGGAACATACTTGTATATTTCGAAATCATTTGGTAAGTTTGAAATCGGTTGGTATGACGTTCCCTACCTTAACAATTAAAATACAAATCATTATATTGTTTAAACCTTATTTGATGTCGTATCATTATCGCTGTTTGTGTGTGTTCATTTCAGGATCACATTTAAGTCTGATTGGAGTAATTAACTCATTCATCCACGTTGTCATGTACACCTATTATCTGGCGGCTGCCATGAAACTCAACATCGATTTGATGGCATGGAAAAAACGAGTCACAATGATGCAAATAATCCAATTCATTATTTTGGCATTTCATCAGAGTCTGCCGCTGATAAACAATCCGTGCAATATGAGCAAACAAATTGTTCTATTTTCCGTTAGTCAGTGTATATTTATGTTAATATTATTTTCAAATTTCTACTATCAGACATATATACGTTCGGCAAAGAAAATAAAATCGAAATAAACAACCAATCAAATGAAATATTCAAAATTGTTTTATTGAAAATATATAAAATTTAGATGGCTCTAGACTTTACAGAATACTAACTTTAATTTTAAGAAAATATCTTCTGGTATTGGTATTACCTCCGCATTTTGAAGGTATCGGCCCCGACTTCCCAAAAACTTAGCATTAAAATGGCAGTTCTCAGTCTAATTGTTTTCAATGAACAAGATTTCATTTCATTAAGAAAAAAACCGTAAAGAAAGTCTTAAAGTTGGACGGGCCGACTTTATGATAGCCTACACCACTTTGCATATTTAGTATGGCTTTACATAAAAAATATAAATTCTTTTGGGGAATTTGTGAGAGTTAAATCATGCCAACTATGATTATAGTTATAATATAAAGTCGAAAGGACCAAATTTGCCGAGACATTTGTATCTTTTATATTCGGACTTGTATTACCCATTTTACCTTGAAATTATATATATATATATATATATATATATATATATATATATATATATATATATATTTATATATATATATGTATATATGTATATATATATATATATATATATATATATATATATATATATATATATATATATATATATATATATACATATGGAGCTATATCAAAATCTGAACCGACCTCTATAAAATTTGGCAAAGGAATTTCTGAGCTAAATTTGATATGTTTTCCTGAATATCGTAGTTACGGAGTGCATATTACGGCTATGGCGAACAAATATAACAAATCGGATGAACAATATATATGGGAGCTATAGCTATATCTGAACCGATTTTCACCACATTTGACATACTAGTTTCTAGTCACATTTGGGCTAATATTACACGTTTGGTGCACAATAAAAGACAAATCGGACAAAGATATATATGGGAGCTACATCCAAATCTGAACAGATCTCAATAAAAAAAAAATCTGGCAAAGGTATTGCTGTGCTATATTTGATAGATTCCCCCAAGTATAGTTGTTACAGAGAGCATATTACGGCTATAGCTATATCTAAACCGATTTCGATCAAATTTGGCTCAATTATTTTCAGGCCTAATCTGGTCGTATATGCAGAATTTCATATTATTTGGGCTGCTATTACACGTTTGGAGCGCAATTAAAGGCAAACCGGAGTTACATCAAAATTTTGACCGTTTATCTCCAATTTCAATAGGGCTCGTCCTTGGGTCAACCAAATGACTTGTGCAAAATTTCATCAGGCAATATATACGATCTTTATTTTGTTTACAAAAATACATGGACAAACGAACGGATGGACGAACATGCTCCGACCAGCTTCTGGTGTAGGGTATAAAAACCAAAATACCCCTTTAGTGACTCTCTCCATGTTTAATATTTTCTACCGAAATAATCTTTGTGTTTTTATATTCAATATCAATGAAGACACTAGTCGACAAATTCCAAGGAATCTTAATCAGAAGAGGGGAAACTTGCTCCCTCTAATTAGGTAACTTTATGTCATAATTCATGAATCTATATGAAAAATCTTTTCATTAAGGCCATTCAATCAAAATTCCTTAAATCGATTGGACGTGACATTGATTGGACGTGGACCTGCACAGACAATTTTCTGTCATAGACTGTAGTATCCATTGCGAACTTCAAATGGCAAATTTGAAACAATTCTGGTGAAAAAATGTTCATAAAATCATTAAAATACCGAATATCGGGAGGTACCGTTATAAGGGGTCTCTACGTAGACGTGGAACTGCACAGACAATTTTCTGTCTTAGGCTGTAGTATCCATTATGGACTTCAAATACCAAATTTGAAACAATTCCGATGAATAAATTCGCTAAAATCATCAAAATACCGAATATCGTGAGGTACTGTTATATGGGGTCTATACGAAGACGTGGACCTGCACAGACAATACCAAATTTAAAACTATTCCGGTGAATAATGTCTCTAAAATCATCAAAATACCGAATATTGGGAGGTACCGTTATATGGGGCTATACCAAAACGTGGACCTACGTGGCCCATTTTCAGTACCTAAAAGTCCTACAGACATAACATACATTTGAGCAAAATTTTATCAATCTACTTCAATTCGTTCGGAAGCTAGAGTGATTTCCACAGACGGACGGACATCGCTAAATCAACATAGAATATTATGCTGATCAAGAATATATATACTTTGTGGTGTCTAAAATATGTATTTGGAGGTGTTACAAACGGAATGACAAACTTAATATACCCTCCGTACTATGGTGGAGGGTATAACAATTGATGGAATATGTAGGCACAGTTGTAAAATGAACACAACAATTAGTATTAAATTGAAATGAGCACCTAAAAGTATGCTCCATTTTTAGATAATTTCAAACTTGCAATATAAAGCTAAAGCTAATAGACCGTTAACATACATGAAATTGATTTCTGTAAAACTTATTCCAAACTCGACAATAATGGAACTGGAAGAAGGTAGAAAGGAATGGAAATAGAAAAAGCAACAAAGCAAAACCGTCATAGGAACATAGTTATGGTAATATCTCAACGAAATAGACATTTAAGTCTTGATGAGCGTGGATTTCCAAGACGATTAAAACATTTTTATTTGAGTCAGGCAGTCTGACATTTGACGCGATCGATATAGAGGACTAAAATTAAAATCGTTTTATGCTGGCAAGTTTCTTAGAGAGTTAGAAACCACATTGCCACTGGCAATTGGTGTGAGTCACTGCTGCGGAATACTTATAATAATCTTTTCATATTCGGCAGTTTAATTGCCGAATTGCTTTCTCTATTTTTTTTTTGTATTTCAATAAACTAGTTTATTTTTATACCCTACAACACTATGTGTTGGGGGTATTATAAGTTTGATTGGGTCAAAAATTATGTAACATCTCGAAACATTGGTTTCCCCCATAGGAAAGTATATATGAGTCTTCCTAGCTCGCCGAGCTGAGTCGATTTAGCTATGTATGTCCGTACGTCTGTCCGTATGTCCATGTTAATTTGTAATCACTCTACAGATCGCAATTATGGCCCGATCTTCACGAAAGTTAGCATGGGGCTAGAATTTATGGGTGGGCAGAAGTCTTCTAATTTTGATGATCATCAGGTAATATTTAGTGGGTGAAATAGACCATAACATTTGAGTTAAATAAAAGTAAAATATTCCATTAAACCACGAATATTTTTAATCCCGGCGAAATCACAAGTAGACAAAAAGGTAAATTCTGACCATTACGTAGATGCCGATAGTAAATATAATGGATATATACAGCGAAATATACACAATGTGTATATACAAAGGAAGGAGATGTTATCTAGAATGCTTATATCTCAAGAATCGCTGAACCGATTTTGACAAATTTTGTCAACTCCGAATGCCTTCTTGGCATAAAAGTATAAAATCTAAAAAAAAATCGCATAAAAAATGCCAATAATGATGTTAATACAGATTTTGTAGTATTTTGGGAAATTTTTTTTTTATTTTTTCAAATTTTTGTAGCATACGATTTTTTCAATTTGATTTATAATATTGAAGTGTATATTTTGTAATATTTTTTCACCTTACAACACTGGTTGGGGATATTATATAAGTATTGCAAATATCGTCCGATCCTGACGAAAATTTTCACAATGGTAGGGTTAGGATTAGGATTATTGTTTTCAAAGATGACCGCAATATATTTGGGGGTTTAAATGTTCCTTGTTTTAAAACCGTTATAAAGATCACAAATAGAAACCATAGGACACGAAATCTTGCATTATGTTAGAGTTTGATACAGCGGGTTGAATGGTCCACTATTTTTGTGTGGAAAGTTACCAACATTACTTACAGGCGATTTCCAAAATACGCAAAAGCGAACTTCTGGCTTTTTTTATGCTGATTTCGTTGACGAAAATAGCCACATATCGTAGCCAAGCATATCATATAGATAAGTCTAAATTTGGAGATACAGAGGGGTCTCTTACTTTTGGAGATGATCGCAAAATATTTAGGCGTTCAAATAAACCAAAAGCAGAAAAAAAATCCTGATCACACAATTGAAGCCAATCGACACGTCTGAGAAGAGAGTTAAGGACAGGGAAGAATTCTAGCATTTTGGTTGACCATTGGATTATATTTAGCTGTAAAATGGACCACACAACTAAAAGCATCGTTGTAGGGTATCACATGGTCGGTCCCGCTATAGTCGTGCTTACTTGTTTATTATAAATTAATTTAATTTATTTTAAATCCTAACACTCTAATAATCCTCAAATTTTTAAGTGCAAACATTATTTTCACTTTCATAGGAATTGCATTAAAAGTTCGAATGTTATTAAAAGTTTCACTCCACCCGTCTGCCTCCACTGCTGACAATGAAAATTGATTAATGATTTTATTTGGTTCGCATCATTATCGCAACGCTGGCACTGAAATACCAAATATTGCCCATTTTCTTTTTTGCTTTTCTTTTTGTAAATGTGTATTTTAATATGTGCCATGAAAATTACTAATTTTATCAATTTCAATAAATTTTAAACAGCTCATAAATAACACTAAGAGACATGACATAAACATTCATTTTTATTTATTTCTTCGATGGAATTTACAGAAAGAGGTCAATGAAAGGTGATTTCAGAGGTGATTTTCGAAACTGAAAAAAAATACTTGGCATTGGTTTTTTACCTTCAAAACTGTTATACCCTCCACCATTCTACATACGGAGGGTATATAAGTTTTGACATTCCATTTGTAACTCCTCGAAATATTCTTGATAGACCTTAAAAAACTATATATATATATATATATATATATATATATATATATATATATATATATATATATATATATATATATATATATATATGTTCTGTATCAGCGTAAAATTCCAAGACTTCATTCAATTTTTTCAAATTTCGTATTCAAAGTTCGTACGGGTAGTACAGCCCATGACAAACAATATCGTATGTAATTCTACGTCATACAGGGTGAGATGAAAAAACTGCAAACAACGTCAGACTTCTGTCATTTCTAAGCCACTCGTCCGATAGCTGTTAA